GTCATGATGGGATCGAGCCCCTCATCGGGCTCCCTGCTCGGCGGGAAGCCTGCTTCTCCCTCTCCCACTCCCCCTGCTTGTGTTCCCTCTCTCGCTGTGTGTCTCTCTGCCAAATAAATAAAATCTTAAAAAAAAAAAATAAGACTTCTAGGTTAGTTAGAATTCTATATACCTTGAATTGTGAACATTTCCATCGTGCTAGACTTAGTGATGATAAGGCAAGATTGATGAAACGGTGTATTGACCTGAACACCATGTAAGGAGAGAAAGATCACACTTCGCAATTACGTTCTAGGGGTAATGGAGTATTCTCCCTGGTAGGGGGGCATAAGGCCCAATTCTCACCTGTGGGTTTCTCTCCCTTTGACCCACCGTGTAGTCCCACTGGAGGACCCTATATTCTAGTGCAGAATGGTCTCAGAAGGCCACCTTTTAATGAGTTCTCCAGACCTTTTGAATTATTGTCAAGACGGTGACGGGACGCCTGGGTGGCTCAGTTGGTTAAGCAGCTGCCTTCAGCTCAGGTCATGATCCCAGGGTCCTGGAATCGAGTCCAGATGGGGCTCCCTGCTCAGTGGGGACCCTGCTTCTCCCTCTCCCTCTGCTTCTCCCCCTGCTTGTGCTCTCTTGAGCTCTCTGTCAAATAAATAAGTAAATATAATCCTAAAAAAAAAAAAAAAGGACAGTGACTCAGCAGGACCCCTTCCAGCCCTAACCTTTTTCTCTAGGCCAGCCAAAAAGTGGTCCACCAATCAGCAGCATTAATATCACCAGGGGGCAGACCCAATATCAGACCAATTGAATCCATGTGTTAGCAGATTCTAAGGGGATTTGTGAGAACAATCATACTGGAGAAGCACTGCTGTAGAGCCTTTAATGCAGACGTTTGGCTCACCTAAATCCTGCTGTGCAGGTTTTCAAATTGGAACCCAGAGGAACTCAGGGATCTCTGCCTCTGCATTCTTAAGGTTGAACAGGAAGTCAAAGCTTGGTTTTCACAAACTGTCACAGAGGTCCCAGGATTTAGAGAAGCCAGACTCAGAAGAACTCTTGGTGTGAGAGAGAGAGTGGCTGGCCGACCCAAGCTCTTTATATATTTGTTGTCAATTATCACAGCGTGGTTTCAGTTCATTATATCCCATTGAATAATCCAGCTGCCCTACTCGAAATCATATCGTGGAAATGCGCCACTGATTGAAAAGAAAAGCAATTAAATCACCTCATCTTCCTTCTGTGACTTTGGAGGAAGGGTCCAAGCCTATGCCAGGCCCTTCCCAGGGCTGGGTTCCATCACTCTTAAGTTTTTTTTAAAAGGTTTCTGAAATCATACTCTGTTTTCTCCAAATAAGTGAATAAACCAGGATACAAATGTGATAATTCCTATTCCTCTGCTATTTAGGAGATTTTTATTTCTCTGCTACCATAAACTCACAGTAAATATGTAAAAGCAACTCTGGATATATAAGAGCTCAGCGGCATACCAATATCCATCCATGTGTAACACTGGAAGTGTTAGGCTTCATTTAGCCAAGGAACATGAAGGATTAAAAGATTCAGGACTTGAGGACACTGGAAAATATGGTCAACACTATTGACATTTTATATCAGATTAATTCTTTGCTTTAGGGGGCTATCCTCTGGCGGGGCAGATGCTTAGCAGCATCCCCGGCCTTTACCCCCTTTACCCACTAGATGTCAGTAGCACTCCCTCAATTGTGACAACCAATAAAATGCCTCCAGACATTGCCAAATTTGGGGGGGGAGGGGAGGAGGGGAATGGCCCCAGTTGAGAACTACTGGTTTATAATCTGTCCGAGCTTTAGTATGTGGTGCCCTCAATATCATAGTGACTCTGTCTTCTCAGTTTGAGAGGCCTTGGGAGTAAAAAGAATTTAAAAATTATAAGGTTTTGGGGATTGAGAGATGCGAACTACATACAAGGTTTTCCCTAGAATCACTTTACCTTTCCTGACAAGGAAGTTCCGACGTAAAACCTCAGGTAGGAATGGCTTTACAGGTATTGGCAGAGAATCAACAGCAGTAGTCACCAACTTGGGCAACACGTTAGAATCAGCTGGGGTTAAAAAAAAAATTCTTCCTTTCTTCCTTTTAAAGATTTTATTTATTTTTTTGACAGAGACACAGCAAGAGAGGGAACACAGCAGGGGGAGTGGGAGAGGGAGAGAGAAACAGGCTTCCCACTGAGGAGGGAGCCCGATGCAGGGCTCAATCACAGGACCCTGGGATAGTGACCTGAGCCGAAGGCCCTGCCTCAACCCTGCCCTGGAAAACTGAGATTTAATTGGTCTGGAGATGGGCCTAGAATAGGTATTGTTTTTGTTTATTTTTGAGAGAGAGAGAGCGTGAGCAGAGGTGGGAGGGGCGTGGCAGGCAGAGGGAGAAGCAGGCTTCCCCTGAGCAGGGAGCCCCTATGGGGTTCCATCCCAGGACCCTGAGATCATGACCCAAGCCAAAGGCAGTTGCTTAACTGACTGCGCCACCCAGGCGCCCCTTATGTACTTACTTTTTAACGTTTAAATCCTTGAGGGGAACAGCCTCCCATGGATTCTGCGTCCAATGGCTTTGGCAGGAATCTGGCACAAACCATGCAACTGTTTGCTTGGGCATTAAGTTCCCTTTCCCCAAATTACTCTGGTTTTGTTCGGCTTGCCACCAGGAGTCACTGGGTTCTTTGCTTTGCATATATAAGCATGTCTCGCCTAGATGGAATTCAGTTTCCTCTCTAACATAAATACCTTCAATTTTTAATTTTTTAAATTTTTATTTTTTTACCTTCAATTTTAAGAAGAGCTGTGTGGTCCCTTTGGTTTCAGAGACACCACTTATAGCCAGTAAAAATGGCCTTTGCCCATAGTCCTCCAGACAAGTTTGTTTTAGAAGTCCTGTCACCAGCAGGTCTCCACACCTCCAAAATAGCAGAAAGGGCCTTACATCATTAATAAAAGTTGAGGACTTATATTAAAGTGCCGCTCAGCATGTACTTCTTGCCCTCTTTCACACAGTGTCGTCCAGAGCGCGCTACTGAAACACAAAGATGAACCTGGAGTATCCGAGCAGTGGTGTTCTCTTTCTCTGATGTTCTGAGAAAAGAGTGGCATCTTGTGTGGTCTAGTGAGAGATTTGAGTTACTGCTGTGTTGTGTTTATGAATGTGGGATATCCAAATCTTTCCCAAGTTCCCTTAGGGTAGTTATTTTTTAAATCTTCTCTTAAGTTCTTGAAGATAAGCTAAATGAACAAAACATGAGACTTCTTTTCACTCACAGAGAAATTAGGGAATGAAGATGAGCCACAATAGTTCAAAAGTGGAATACTGAGTGGTCCCTGGCTGGCTCAGTTGGTAGAGCATGTGACTCTTGATCTCGGGGTCATGAGTTCCAGAACCACATTAGGTGTAGAGATTACTTAAATAAATACAACTTGAAACAAACAAAAAAGTATTATACTAAGGGAGAGGAAAACGATTCCAGAATTCACTATCCTGAGCACTGAATTCTGTTCTGAAGTCCAGGTAATTCCTTTTGTTTTTTGTTTTTTTTTAATATATAATTTTTTTTGTCTTTTTTTTTAAGATTTTTATTTATTTGAGAGAGAGAGCGACAGAGATCACAGAGGGAAAGAGAGAAGCAGACTCCCCACTGAGCAGGGAGCCCAATGTGGGGCCTGATCCCAGGACCCCGAGATCATGACCTGAGCTGAAGGGAGTCACTTAACCGACTGAGCCACCCACCCAGGCACCCAAGGCAGAGTTCTTTCCTTTTCTTTTTTTTTTTTTTTGTAATGTATTTTAATAGCAAACTTACAGGAACAGCACAGAAGACAGACAACATTAAAAACATGTACTTGCGGGGAAGAATGAAGGGGGGAAACTGGAGGGGGAGACGAACCATTAGAGACGATGGACTCTGAAAAACAAACTGAGGGTTCTAGAGGGGAGGGGGGTGGGGGGATGGGTTGGCCTGGTCATGGGTATTAAAGAGGGCACATTCTGCGTGGAGCACTGGGTGTTATGAACAAACAATGAATCATGGAACACTGCATCAAAAACTAATGATGTAATGTATGGTGGTTAACATAACAATAAAAAAATTATTAAAAAAAAACATGTACTTGCATGTAGGACAACTCAGAAAAGTACAGCGAATGGATGGATCTACTGTATGATAAAAATGATACAAACACCATTTAATTGCTGTCAATAAGAAATTTACTTGTTTTAAAAAAATCCAAATGCTGGCATTGTCCAGAAAAATTTAGCAGGTTTATTTATAATTGTTATAAAGTTGAACTGCTGAAACGTGTTCACCAAAACATTTTGACTTGCATTAATGCTTTATGTTCCCGCATTTATATTAAAAATTCACACACAAATGACAATGGAAAACCTGCCAATACCTGATTTCTGTCCCCTATTTTTCCACTTGCAATCATATACTTAGGTACCTTTTGACCCCATGGAAAAAAATATCTAACGTTCAGAACTACCAATAACAGGGAGAAATTTTTTTTTTTTTTTTAAAGAATGAAATGTTTTCCATCATAGTGGATTCTTAAGCACGTTCTCCACGTATGTGGCGCGCTAGCTGGATGTCTTTTGGCATAATTGTGACACGTTTGGCATGGATAGCACACAGGTTGGTGTCTTCAAAGAGGCCAACCAGATAGGCCTCGCTTGCCTCCTGCAAAGCACCAATAGCCGTGCTCTGGAAGCGCAGATCTGTTTTGAAGTCCTGAGCAATTTCTCGCACCAGACGCTGGAAAGGAAGTTTGCGGATCAGAAGTTCGGTGGACTTCTGATAACGTCTAATTTCACGGACGGCCACAGTACCAGGCTTGTAACGATGAGGTTTCTTCACCCCTCCAGTAGAGGGCGCACTCTTGCGAGCGGCTTTTGTAGCCAGTTGCTTCCTCGGTGCTTTACCACCGGTCGATTTGCGGGCAGTCCGCTTTGTACGAGCCATGGTACAGAAACTCCCTTACTTACCCCCCTTCTCCTTGGGCTGGAGCTGGGCGAGCTAGAGGCGGCGCTGGCGTTGGCGAGCGACGGTGGCGCGGCGGCGGCTGCGAACACAATTGAAAGCCCAAGGCAGAGTTCTTAAGAGGTGACACTAAAAGCAGGATCCATAAAAGGAAAAATCCATAAATTGGATTTCATTAAGAACTATTGCTCCATGAAAAACCTTGTTAAGAGGATGAAAAAAACAAACTAGAGTGAGGAAAAGTATTTGCAAACTACATATTTTTTAAAGTAGATGAAACAGGTCTCTACTGGAAGATCCAGGACTTTCATAGCTGGTGAGAAGTCAGGCCTGGCTTCAGAGCTTCCAAGACAGGCTAATGTCAGGGGCTAATGCAGCTGGTGACTTGAAGCTGAAGCCAGTGCTCATTCACCATTCTGAAAATTCTAGGGCCCTTAAGAATTATGCTAAATGTACTCTGCCTGTGGTCTGTAAGTGGAACAGCAAAGCCTGCAGGACAGCACATTTGTTTATGACATGGTTTACTGAATAGTAAGACCACTGTTGAGACCTACTGCTCAGAAAAGACTCCTTTCCAAATATGACTGCTCATTGACAATGCACCTGGTCACCCAAGATTTCCATCATAGTGGATTCTTAAGCACGTTCTCCACGTATGCGGCGCGCTAGCTGGATGTCAGCCCATGGAGCAAGGAGTAATTTCTTCTTTTTTTTTTTTTAAGAAGATTTTATTTATTTACTTGACAGAGAAAGACACGGTGAGAGAGAGAACACAAGCAGGGGGAGTGGGAGAGGGAGAAGCAGGCTTCCCGCGGAGCAGGGAGCCCGATGCGGGGCTCGATCCCAGGACCCTGGGATCATGACCTAAGCCGAAGGCAGACACTTAAGGACTGAGCCACCCAGGTGCCCCGCAAGGAGTAATTTCTTAAGACTTTTGAATCTCATTAGGAAATACCTTTTAAGTCTACAGCTGTCATTGATAGCGAATTTTCTGACAGATCTGGACAAAACAAATTGAATACTTTCTGGAAAAGATTCACTATTCTTCCCCCTTTTTAAAAGATTTTATTTATTTGACAAAGAGAAAAGTGAGAGAGCACAAGCAGGGGGAGGGGGAGGCAGAGAGAGGAAGAGGGAGTAGACTCCCCACTGAGCAGGGAGCCCGATGTGGGACTCGATCCCAGGACCCTGGGATCATGACCTGAGCTGAAGGCAGACGCTTAACGACTGAGCCACCCAGGCCCGGAATTCGCTATTCTTGATGCCATTAAGAACATGTTATTCAGGGTTAAGAGGTCAAAATATCAATATTAACAGAAGTTTGGAAGAAGTTGATTCCAGCCCTCATTGGAGGATTGAGGGATTCAAGACTTCAGGAGAGAAAGTGACTGTAGATGTGGTTGAAACAGCAAGAGAGCTAGAATCAGATGTGGAGACTTAAGATGTGCCTGAATTGCTGCAACTTCAGGATCATGAGAGTTTCTTCTAACGGGAAGAGCAAAGAAAGTGGCTTCTTGAGATGGAACCTACTCCTACTGAAGATGCTGTGAAAACTGTTGAAATGACCAAGGATTTAGAATATCACATTAACTTCGTTGATAAAGCAGCGGCAGGTTGGAGAGGAGGAGACTCCAATTCTGAAAGAAGTTCTACTGTGGGTAAAATGCTATCAAACAGCGTAGATGCACACTACACAGAAATTGTTCTTCAAAGGAGGGGCGCCTAGGTGGCTCAGTCATTGAGCGTCTGCCTTCGGCTCAGGTCATGATCCCTGGGTCCTGGGATCGAGCCCCGCATCGGGCTCCCTGCTCCACGGGAAGCCTGCTTCTCCCTCTCCCACTCCCCCTGCTTGTGTTCCCTCTCTCGCTGTGTCTCTCTCTGTCAAATGGATAAATAAAATCTTAAAAAAAAAAAAAATTGTTCTTGAAAGGAATCGAGGAAGCAAACTTCACTGTTGTCTCAGGAACCTGCCCAGCCTCCGCACCTTAAGCAACCACCTCCCTAATCAGTCAGCAGCCATCAACATCAGAGGCCAGACCATCCACCAGTAAAAAGATTACCACTGGCTGAAAACTCAAATGGTGGTTAATATTTTTAACAATAAAGTATTTAATTAGGGCATCTACATTTATAGACATAATGCTTTTGTACATTTAATAAACTATAGTATAGTGTAAACCTAACTTTTATATGCAATGGGAAACCAAAACATTTATTTGACTCACTTTGTTGTGATACTGGCTTTATTGCAGTGGTCTGGAACCAAACTCACAATAACTCCAAGGTATGCCTATAAATAGAAGATAGAAAGTAGAATAACAAAGAAAATTAAGTGGAAATAATTTTTAAAAGATTCTAGAAAAAAATATAAAGACAAGCAAAGGCAATCCAAAATACACATCATTGGACTGCCCAGAGAAAACAAAAGCAATGGAACGGAACCATTCTGAAGAAAGCACTCAAAGATACTAAATGAAACCGAAAGAATACACCATGTTCAAGAGGAAATGATCCAGAATGGTCTAAACAGAGGGCTATTTGAGGAGCTATCTTCAAAGATAAAAGACCCTTTTGAACAGTGAGGCAAAAAGAGACACTTAAGGCTCTGGGGGTGAGGGCGGGGAGGCGGGGGGGTGGGGGGGAGCAAGCTGGCCTTGGCTCTCATCGACACTCAGCATTTACAACAGAACAATGCTCTCAATATCCTTGAGCAAGAGTGAGATGAGAAGTCTTTCAAGAAAAAAAGTTTTAGATATGAAAGAACTCGGCATTCTGAGTCCTTTTTGAAGAAAGCTCTAGAGAACAAACAAATCAAGTCCGGAGTAACTGGATTAACTACAGAAAAGAGTTAACAATGAGCATTACATATACATAACTGGAGGAAAAAAGACTTGAAAAAGTGAGCAGATAGGAGTAACAGAACAAGCAGTGGGAATCTAATGATGTAGAAATGACATAAAGTCAAGGGGAAGAAGGGACAAGATAGGAGAATAGTTGGTTCCTATGCAAACTCGAGTTTAGTGCGACAAAGCTGAACACCAAGAGATAACTGACTCAAATGCAAATTAAGAGGTGGATAAGACTGAAGGATGAGGGAAGGGAAAAATGTAATAATCACTGTTCACATAGAAAAATAGGTACTGGGCGCCTGGGTGGCTCAGATGGTTAGGCGTCTGCCTTCGGCTCAGGTCATGATCCCAGGGTCCTGGGATTGAGTCCCGCATCGGGCTCGCTGCTCCTTGGGAGACTGCTTCTCCCTCTGCCTCTCTCTCTCTCTCTCTGTCTCTCGTGAATAAATAAAATCTTTAAAAAAAAAGAAAAATAGGTACCAATGAAAGTAAAAGGTATTGGGGTGCCTGGGTGGCTCAGTTGTAAGCGTCTGCCTTTGGCTCAGGTCATGATCCCAGGGTCCTAGGATCGAGGCCCTCATCAGGCTCCTTGCTCCGCAGGAAGCCTGCTTCTCCCTCTCCCACTCCCCCCTGCTTGTGTTCCCTCTCTCACTGTGTCTCTCTTATAATAAATAAATCTTTATTTATCAAGTACATAAAATCTGTCAAAGAAATAAAATCTTTAAAAAAAAAGAAAAAAAGTAAGACTATTAAGGAGGTTTAAGTTTTATGGGTAACCACTAGAGAGAAAATTTGAATTCTCCTAAATTCCTGAAGAACTACACACATACACAAATATAGCTGGCATGATAAAATGAGATAAAAATCACCCACTGAATTATTTTTAGATTGCATTAGACAAAAAACCTAAATCTTTGCTGCATCAAAGAGTCACACAAGAGGATACAGAAGGCTGAATAGAAATAGGCAAAATTATACAATTCCTTTATAAATCTTGATTGTCATTATAAGAGAACATTCATATTCAAAATACAAAATATTTGAGGATGAAGGATTATAACATCTTTAGTTTACTTCCAAATATCTCAGTAAAAAGTGTTAAGCATGTGGGAATGCAAGCTGGTGCAGCCACTCTAGAATAAACAGTATGGAGTTTCCTCAAAAAGTTGAAAATAGATCTACCCTATGACCCAGCAATTGCACTGTGTATTTAGCCCAAAGATACAAATGTAGTGATCTGAAGGGGCACATGCACTCCAATGCTTATAGCGTTGCAATATCCACAAGAGCCAAACTATGGAAAGAACCTAGATGTCCATCAACAGATGAATGGATAAAGATGTGGTATATATATACAATGGAATATTATGCAGCCATCAAAAGGAATGAGATCTTGCCATTTGCAACCACGTGGATGGAACTAGAGGGTGTTATGCTAAGCAAAATAAATCAATCAGAGAAAGACAATTATATGATCTCACTGATGTGTGGAATTTGAGAAACAAGGCAGAGGATCATAGGGAAATGGAGGGAAAAATGAAAACAAAACCAGAGAGGAACACAAACTATAAGAGACTCAGGAAACAAACTGAGTGTTGCTGGAGTAGAGGGGGGTGGGAGGGACGGGGTGGCTGGGTGATGGACGTTGGGGAGGGTATGTGCTGTGGTGAGTGCTGTGAATTGGGCAAGACTGAGGAATCACATACCTGTACCCCTGAGACAAATATTACATATATATGTTAAAAAGGAAAAAAAGACAATTGACTAAGCAAAAAAAAGTGTTAAGCATGGCTAATATCTGAGATGTATACATACTTATTGGCTAATATCTGAGATGTATACACACTTATTGGTCTATTCGTGGGAATTTTGTTCAAAATTTCTTAAAGAGTTAAAAATAAAAAATATATGCTTTAAGGGGCACCTGGGTGGCTCAGTTGTTAAGCATCTGCTTTCAGCTCAGGTCATGGTCCCAGGGTCCTGGGATCGAGCCCTGCATCGGGCTCCCTGCTCAGTGGGAAGCCTGCTTCTACCTCTCCCAGTCCCCCTGCTTGTGTTCCCTCTCTTGCTGTGTTTCTGTCAAATAAAATCTTAAAAAAAAAAAAAAATGTACAGACACATCCCTGGCTCAGTTAGATCGAGTGACTCGATCTCAGGGTTCTGAGTCTGAGCTTCATGTTGGATGTTGATTAAAAAAATTTTGTTTTAGGGGCACCTGGGTGGCTCAGTTAAGCATCTGCCTTTGGCTCAGGTCATGATCCCAGGGTCCTGGGACGGAGTCCCGCGTTAAGCTCCTTGCTCCGCGGGGAACCTGATTCTCCCTCTCCCTGCCACTCTGCCTACTTGTGCTATCAACTAAAATCTTTTTAAAAAAGTTGTTTTTTAGATTCTGTATTTTTGACAGAGAAAGCACAAGCAGGGGGAGCAGCAGAGGGAGAGGGAGAAGCCAACTCCCTGCAGAGCAGGGAGCCCAACACAGGGCAGGGCTCCATCCCAGGCCTTCAGGATCATGAATTGAGCCTGAGGCAGACACTTCACTGAGCCACTCAGGCGCCCCTAAAAATAAAAATGTAAAATAAAGGCAACAAAAACAGAAACTGACAGCTCTCCTTTAATGCAATCAGTGAGGAAATCCAACGTCAGTCCCTCAGAACACCTGAGAAAGGAACTCAAGTGGGAAGATGGAAGAGCTTTAGGGTATATTTGCTTCAGTGCAGAAAGTGACTTCCCTCTCACATCACCCACTTGAATAGGTTTTCCATGAAAAATACTAATACATGCCTCCTAGTTTTGTTGCAAGCTTAACAAAACTTCAAGCCTGCCCGCACTTAGCCATGTTGGTAGACTAGGACAGCTAGACTAGTTCTAAGTAGAATAACCTCTGAAGACCTACTGTGGTAGTGAGCAGAGGCTATTATTTAATATCCCTCCCTAACATCACTGTTGCACTTGCCATTTGTTGCAGCCAGTCCTCCCAAGTTCATGCTGTTTCTGCCTCCACCCCATTCTGAAGACCAACAGATCGTTCCATACCTGTGTACTCATCAGCATGGGATTTAGTTCTTCACCCAGGTCTCCAGTTGCTTCTTTCCATACCGTTCTTGTAAGTGAACAAAACACTTTGAACACACGCTCTACCTCTATCTTCCTCCCAGTGTTTGAGAGCTCTTCCAGAAGGTGGTATGTACAAGTATTTGTCTTTTTTAAAAAAAGATTTGAGAGAGAGATCACGAGTAGGGGGTAAGGTAGAGGGAGAAGCAGGCTCCCCACTGAGCAGGGAGCCCGATGCGGGACTCAGTCCCAGGACCCTGGGATCATGATCCAAGCCAAAGGCAGACGCTTAACCGACTGAGCCACCCAAGCACCCCAGTATCTGTGTCCTTGCTTTCTAACCTTACCCAGATGTATCAAGTGCCTTTCCAGTAGGACAGTATCACACATTAAAATGCCAGAAGTTTACATTCTAACAATGTCATGAGGATAAGAACTCTTGTTCACTGAATACACAAGTAAAAACAAGTTAAGAAAAGAACAAGACTCTTTAAGAGGTATTCAAGTAAGTCAATTTTAATAAGATCCTCTACACACACATTTGCTACTGAAAATTGAAATAGCACAAAAAAATTTTATTACAATTTTTGAAAACCACAAAATCTAGCACACACATCTGCCCTAATCATGCTCTAACCAAACCACCCAAAGTTTTCTGTGTATTCCTTCTGCACAAGTTACTTGGCTTCCAATTTTTGAGGTTAGGTCTTGTCTTAATGACTTCAGGCCTCTCAAACACACAGGCAACACTCAAAACCTATTAGTGCTTTCTTAGGTCAAATCAAAAGGTGTACGTATACTGAAGTCATTCAAATGCAAACTACAGGATTCCTCACAAATTATTGGTATGAAGGTAGAAAAGATACAAAAAAGACTTTATAATATCATAGATTACAAAAATATTATAGTTTACCCTAACATAGAGCAGCTTTCCCAAGCTGCTGCAAAATGATCCTAAAATCACTAGTTAAGAAGAAACCATACAAGAATAAAGTTTATGTTTACATTGGCTCTATGTCATAATTATTCTCCATGCTGGTTTCCTCAGAAAGATCTTTATGATAAAGGCAATAATGACAGCAACATCTAAATCTTTCTACTCTTGATTCACCCTGAAAAAAAGTGAAATGGATTAATTGCATTAATAATTTAAATAAAATGGATTAATTGCACCATGATGAGATGTAACCAAGCCTCCACCCTCAAATCTAGGCTTGGTTATTATAACCTTTTAAGTTGTGCTCCATGCCAACTCAGGGCTTGAATTTACCACTGAGATCAAGACCTGCGCTGAGATCAAGTCGGATGCTTCACCAACTGAGCCACCCAGGCACCCCTAGAATAGCCTTGGGAATACATTTTGGAGGGCAAAGAGGAGGCAGGATTGAAATGTATGGGTACCAAAGAATATCAGATTGTGGGTCATTTTGTAATGGTAACATCTGATTGTCAACCAGTAAAATATATCCTAGTGTCATTCTCTGAATGCCTTAAATGTAACTTCTTCTGGACCCAGTACTCAAGGTTGTTTGCCCTTACTAGAGTATCGTCATGACCATGTTTCTGACAGCACTTGAGAAAGTACAAATATACCACCAAGAGTTAACCCTAATGTAATTAAACAATAGACTTGAGGTGAGAACGTGTCAGTGTAGGTTCAACTGTATGAATTTATCACTGGCATGGAATGTTCATAGTGGAGGACACTGTGTATTCAGGAGGTATATGGGAACGCTCAACTTTCCACTCAATTTTGCCATTAATCTAAAACTGTTCTAAAAAAATAAAACTAAATAAAAATTACGAACATGAACTGATTTCTCCAGAGTTCCCAGAGATTCAAAATCAAATTCCCCTTTCCCCCTCTCAAAAACAAAAATCAAAAAATAGAAACCAGACAGCCACCCACATGTATAGTTTGAGAAAATCTTCTTTTACCTCCTCAGCTTCCTTCTGCTGTAGATCTTTCTGAAGCTTTATGGGAAGAAAAAAATATATTTATTGAAAACTATCAAAAAGGTTGGATTACTAACATTATTATTACATTACATCTACCGTAAAAAGTTGGAGAATCTTAAAAACACAAGTGTTACTCACACCCTGCGCTCATCAGTATGATTGACTGACTGCTGCCTATCATTCCTAGTGGCTATTGAGCGCCCTGGTGGGGCAGCGCTGTCTGCCCAGATCCCATGAACCTACCTGGGGCCCCGGGCTGAGGTAGCGCTGGTACTGAATCATTCGAATCATCCTTGCCATCCTTTCTTTCCGAGCAGTTAACAAAGTCCTTACTCCAGTCCTCCTCCTCCTGCTGCTGCTAAGGATGCGCTCAACCAGCCCCTGCGGTTTCTTCTCTCTGCCCTGCTCCTGGGATGGATATTCTGGTAGAGGGGAAGGGAGTTTGATACTAGAGTCGAGAGTCAATTTACCAAGATTCTTTGTTAATACTTCGGAGATAGTTTGAGAGGTACCTGTAAGAAAAGAGAAAAGTTAAGATCCATTAGAATGCATTGCATCATCCAGAAGTCACTTGTCTCATGCTCCAAGTAGGTCTGGTCTTAAGCAGGTTGACAATGGACAACGGGAGTTACTTCAGCATGGAAGATCACACATAGCGAGCACATTACCTACTCTGCTAACCTAACATGTTGCGTGTGGTGAGACAGTATGTTTGAGAATATGCTTAAGAATCCACTATGATGGGACACCTGGGTGGCTCAATCGGTTCAGCGCCTGCCTTTGGCTCAGGTCATGATCCCAGGGTGTTGGGATTGAGCCCCATATCGGGCTCCCTGCTCAGCGGGGAGCCTGCTGCTCTCCCTGCTTGTCCTCTGTCAAATGAATAAAATCCTAAAAAGAATCCGTTATGATGGTGGGCACCTGGGTGGCTCAGTCAGTTTAGCAGCCAAATGGATCTCAGCATCCTGAGACAGAGCCCCCTGTCATGCTCTGCGCTCAGAGTGAAGTCTGTCCCTCTCCCTCTGCTCCTCCTCCCTCTTGTGCTCTCTCTCTAAAAATAAAGCCTTTAAAAAAAAAAAAAAGAAAGAAAAGAATCATCCACTATGATGGGAAACAGTTCTTGAAAAAATTTTTCCCGCTCTTCCTGTTATCGGTAGTTCTGAAGGTTAGACATTTTTCCCCCCACAGGGTCAAAAGCTACCTAAATAGTATTCCAACTGGAAAAACATGTGATTCCACCTGAAAAAACGTGCAGTTTTCCTATTTTCACTTGTGTTAATTTGTAATAGAAGGGGAGGAAGAGACACACAACAAAGCATTAACGCAAATCAAAAATCAGTAAACAACTTTCAGCAGTTCAACTTGATAACACTTAGAAACCTCTTAAACTTTCTTGGCGGGGGGAGTGGGGGTAGGGGGGTAAAGGCCCGTGAAATAGACAAGGAAACCCTAGATCCAAACGTCTCTCCTTAAACAGAACTAAGAAGCTGAACTGGCTGTTACCCTCTTCACTTATACCCAACCTTTCCATGGTACAAAATCTCTCCACTCAAGCTCCAAAATCAGCCACTCACTTGCCTCTTTGATCCAAACCCTTATGCATACCCCGTACGCTCTCAAAACTCATATAAAGCAGTTTACATTCATTTTCCCCGTGTGTGGAAACACTAAGTAAAAGAGTCAGGATCCATTTGACTTCCAGGGACTTGCGCACATGTAAAGATCCCTAGTTAGGAACCATCAGGTACTAAGGCAGGTCGAGGGAAAGCCGAGTTCGGATTATACAGACACCCTCTCTTTGTTAATTTTCCCTTTGTATACATCCACCCAGGTTCTTTCCTCAAGGATGGGGGGAGGCAGGTCTGGACTGGGGAGGGGCAGGGGGAGAAGATGCTGACGGAATAGAAAATATCAGCAAGCTTCCCACCCAGCTTTCTAGCTGCCCAGTGAGGACTGGCTCAAAGCCACCCACCACCATCCAGCCCCACCCATTAGTCCCGGCAATAAGGTTTCAAATCCATTGAGTGGTTCTCTGTGGCCAAGCCTGGGGTTGGGTTCTGCTATGGGAAGAAGCCAGGAGAGGACCTAATTGGCAATATTTCTGGAGCACTGTTCCTCAGAAAGCCCTCCGGAGTCTGTCCTACTAATTTACATTATAGAGCACATTCACTGGCTTTAAGTGTTCCCCTTTTTTCAATTTCCTCTGAAAAGCCATCTCCCTGCTTAACATTCCTAAAGGGTAAATTTAACTGGAAAACCAATCCAGAAAATGCTGGTGAGATTAAGAAAAACTTTAGGTTAAATTAAGAGTTTAGGTTTCTTGTATTTGTTCCTTTTCACATTCCTGACATGTATTGCTGATAGGCAGACATTTTGAGCCACGACCTAGGAGAATGCCAATTGCTCTTCCCCAGAAACAGAACTGAAAACATTTTTAAGTGTTCCTGAACGTAGGAAGTAAACCATGCAGCTCTCAACACCCCTTTCCCAATTTCCCCCCTGCCCTCCATGTTTCTTCACTGGGGAGACCTACACAACCTTGGCCCTGCTGCCTGGAAGACTGAAGTCAATATAAGAAGGAGGGCAACCTCTTCACTCCCGAGCCTCCTGTCATCAGAAAGGGTACCATCTGGCTTACCTGAGCCTTCCTGGGAATTCTCTTCACTGGGCATCTTAGATGACCCCAGGGCCCAGGTTGGGTAAAGCTGCTTTGGCGAATCCATTGGAAGTCTGGTCACAGACCGAAGCTCCTCCTAGATCTTCAGGGTCCAGTGGGAGGTGATGCTCAAGACTCAACTTGCTACAAAATACCCTGGGAAGAACTTTATAGGCCAGAAGGAGCAAGAAAAACCCAAACTCCTTTGGAGTGGCAAGAGAAAGAACAAACCTCAAAGCTCCCATCGGGTTCCCTCTTAAAACTACAGAGAAGCCAATCAGCCAGCCTATTTTAATGTAAATGCTAATGGTTAAAGGGATAAGGTGAGTGGGCATAGCCCTATTAGTGGACTAATAGGGTGATGCTTCATCTGCTCCGCATTAAAACAATCATACTCTCCTACACGTAGGCTGGAAAATTTTAAAAGAGCCTCTGTGGTTGTATCTCCCTAAGATTGCCTTGAAAATCAGTTTTTCCAAACTACTTCTGGAAATGGCTACTGGTTTGTGAACTGGGCTCTACAGTGTTCTAGTGCAGAGAGATGAAGGGTGGTTCCCCCCACAACTGCTAATTAATTCCCAATTAAATTAATTGAGAAAGTTCCCTTAAAAGTTTTCCTTGCCTGACATCTTAAACCTGTGGATGCTAGTAAGGGAACAGAGAGGAGAAATAAAGTGTCTGTTAGAAACACTTCAATAGCTTGATATTTTATGGATGTGTGCTTTGGATCTGTAATTTTAGTTTGTTTTCTAGACTATTAATTGAATTGCATTTAACATTTGTGAGCAGCTGAAATTAAATTTATAAATTCCCACCCCCACCCCAATACTTGTACTGAACTCTGGCAATGAGCACCAACATTACCTGCTGATTTTCTGCAGGAGGTAGAGAACAAGTCCCTCCCCCCTCTGGCAAAATGCATGTTTTTTCCCATCTCCTATTTATTTATTTATTTATTTAAAGATTTTATTTATTTATTCTTGAGAGACAGAGAGAGAGAGAGAGAGACAGGCAGAGGGAGAAGCAGGCTCCCAAGGAGAAGGGAGCCTGATGTGTGACTCGATCCCAGGACTCTGGGATCATGACCTGAGCTGAAGGCAGACGCTTAACCATCTGAGCCACCCAGGCACCCCCCATCTCCTATTTAATGTACAGCTTCCCTATACTGGCTTTAGCTGGAAATCTTGAGAAAATACTCAAACGCAATCTCGCTTATTTTTATTAAAAAGCAAAAGTCGAAGTTCTGATCAAGAAATATTTTTGTAGGAGATGAAGAACAGCCACAAATACACGTTAGGTTACAATACTTTATTCAAATGGTTCTCAAAAAATATGGCCTCCAGACAGGCAGCATCAACAGCCCCTGGTAACTTGTAGGATATGATTAAAAAAGCCCTGAGCTCCAACCCAGATCTGCTGAATCAAAGAGGCATCCAGCAGTTTAGCAGGCCTCCCAGGTGAATAAGAAGCACTGCTTTATGGCACGCTTAACTCTCCACTCCTGGTCTGTTCTCAGCGGTTCCCCCTTTGCCATGGATACCTGTCCCCTAGCCGTCTCTCAGAATTCTGCAGGAGACATGAGGGCAAATATCAGATGGCAGGGGTGTAAGATTAGGAGGTAAGACAGTAAAAAGGGCTGGCATAGACTCTCACTCAAAAAATCCAGGTTTAGAGAGAGCCATTCCTACAGGAAGGTGTGGAATATGGATGGCGGAGATGCAGTTTTCTTCAACATGACAGAAGCTGAGCGAACAGAAGGCATCCGCCTTCGGCTCAGGTCATGATCTCAGGGTCCTGGGATCGAGCCCCACATCGGACTCCTTCCTCAGTGGGGAGCCTGCTTCTCCTTCTCCCTCTTGCTTGTGCTCACTATCTCTCTCTCTCAAATAAATAAAATCTTAAAAAAAAAAAAACTAAAATAAAATAAAAAATCTTTAAAAGTTATAACAGCTTTCTAGTTAACATGTTTTTTTCTTTATAGTATGAAAGATGAGGTAAAAAGCCAAACAGAATGAAGCAACTTGAAAACAAACAGGGTGCCTGGGTGGCTCAGTTGGTTAAGCGACTGCCCTTGGCTCAGGTCATGATCCCAGGGTCCTGGAATCGAGTCCTGCATCGGGCTCTCCCTGCTCTGCAGGGAGCCTGCTTCTCCCTCTGCCTCTGCCTGCCACTCCCCCCTGCTTGTGCTCTCTCTCTCTCTCTGTCAAATGAATAAATAAAATCTTAAAAAAAAAAGAAAACAAAACAACGCAGACTATAAAAGAATGCATCAAGAAAATGATACCTAATGTCTCAAGAGATAAGAAATCATTTGTAATATTTTTGAAACAAACAGGATGCCCCTTTTAAAGAAGGAAAAGAGCAAAAAAAAAAAAAAGAGTACCCGGATTTAGACATTTGATATTAGAAACAAACAAAAAAAATGGTTTGAAGACAAAAATCGAAGATATTCTCTTAAGTAAAGCAGAACCACAAACAGATATAAAATAGAGAAAATATAAGAAGAGCATTTAATATCAGGAATATAATGGCTCAGATTCCTCAACAACATTGAATGCCAGAGGATAGGGAAAAACACCTTCCAAATTCTGAAGGAAAATACTTCCCAACCTAGAATTCTATATTTAGTCAAACTATTGAGCAAGTGTGGAACATTCCCAGATACTCAGTTTCTCAAAAATGTCACCACCAGGGTAGATTCCTTTGTCTTGTGGGGAATTAACTTGATACAAGAACACTACCAGGCAAGTACTCCTAAGGTCATGAAACAGAAAGACAGACCATATTAAAAAGCTCTTATCTCAGGCACCTAGGTAGCTCAGTTGGTTAAGTGAAGGCCTTTGGCTCAGGTCGTGATCCTGGAGTACCAGGATCGAGTCCCACATCAGGCTCCATGCTCAGCGGAGGGTCTGCTTCTCCCTCTGACCCTCCCCACTCTCATGCTCTCTCTCTCTCATTCTCTTTCTCTCAAATAAATAAAATCTTAAAAAAAAGAAAGAAAAAGGAACTTGCAGCATATATATGTCCAATAAAGAACACAATAATACTAATGAATAAAAATCATTAGGGGATGCCCAGCTGCCTCAGTTGGAGAAGCCTGCAACTCTTGATCTCGGTCTCATGGATTCAAGCCCCACGTTGGGTGTAGAGATTACTTAAATAAATAAAACCAAAAAAAAATCCATTAGATGAATTTCAAAAAAAGCAAAGATTTCTCATTTGAGGAAATATGAGTAAAGTAACACATAAAACAGTTCACTTCTACTTGAGTTTTAAAACCCTAATTAAGATAGCTTTTAAACTTTTGCACGGCAATTTTAAAATAGAAAAACTAGGAAAGATGTATGGTGAGATTATAGTTGGCAGCTATAGCTGGTAGCTGTGAGCCAAATCTTTGAAATATTGTCTGCAAATAGATATTAAGAGCTTTAAAATAGATACATACAAAACATGAGATTTGAGATCAGGTAAACCGTTAAATTCGTATTATCTCTAGTGCGTAACACATTACAGAACCATGGACATGAAACGCTTGAGTGAATCAAAACATCATACCAACATCTCTACTTAGACAATTATTAAAAACCAAAATTTGACTGAGTAAAATTTAAAGATCTATATTGGCTTTATTCAATGATCCACGCAATGGGACAGCATCCCATTCAGTGGATAGAAACAGTCCCAATTGGTTTCCAAGTCGTTGGCAGTGGGTATTGCGGCAGGCCGAGCCGAGGTTCTGGTGCCGAGATGCTTCAAAGCCTTATTAAAAATGTTTGGATCCCCATGAAGCCCTACTATACCCAGGTTTACCAGGAGATTTGGTTAGGAATGGGGTTGATGACTGTCATCATTTATAAAATCAGGAGTGCTGATAAAAGAAGTAAAGCTTTGAAAGCTTCCAGTCCTGCGCCTGCTCATGGCCATCATTGACCGGTTGTACTTGGAGCCCACGTCCCATGGAGCATCAGTCTGTAAATCTCAGCGCGCTGTTAGATGGGAACATGGAGCGCTGCCATACACTTGTAGACGTGTTGTGTCCCCTGTGGCATGAATAAATGTACCTGAGGTGCACCACTGCCCCCCCTTCAAAAAAAGAACAAAAAAAGAAACAATCCCAATTGGCTTCAACTTTTTCTATGTGTTGGGGATGGTTGCCATTATTCTTCCCTTGGTCCTGTAACACTCAGGCCTAGCTTGCAGAGCAGGGAGATTTTTAGGCAATCTCTAAGAGATACAACTAGAAAAGATAGGCTCTTTAAATTATCCAAAAGAATTGTAGAAGCTGTCTTTTTTTTTTTTTTTTTGGTGAGAGAATGGAATTGGAAGCATATCAGTTCTAATTCAATCTCAATACCCACCCACCTAATTATTTCAGTCAATGGTTCATTTATTTTTCATTGGACTGGCAGATAGGTTTACTTGATAGGCTAAGAGGAGGTAAGAATTGAATTTCCAGGACAGTCCCACCTACTGTTTTACTGGAAGTCTGCTCTAATTGAGCTGAAGTTCTTTTCAGATCAACTTGAAGCAAAATGGCATCTTTCTGTTCCGGACTTCTGGGAGGAGGCCAGACCTAGATCTGTTGAGATCTAGGTGGAACTTCAAGCTGTGACTAGAGCTCCATGGACCCACCATAGAAGTTTACCTTGAACTGGAGTATTCACAGATGGGCAGGGAAGAAAATTAACAGGAAGACACAGAGAAGCCAATAAACCTCTTTTTGACAAGACAGAGATAAGCCAGATAACCCTCTTCTTCTTTTTTAAGATTTTATTTATTTATTTGAGAGAGAGAGCACAAGCAGGGAAGAGGCAGAGGGAGAGGAAGAAGCAGGCTCCCTGACGAGCAGGAAGGCTGACATGGGACTCGATTCCAGGACCCCGGGATCATGACCTGAGCCAAAGGCAGACGCGTAACCAACTGAGACACCCAGGTGCCCCATGATAACCCCCGTCTTGACAATGGGAAATGTCATATTCTTTGTATTAATTTCCAGTCCTTGAAGGAGGAATATAAGTACAGCTCTTCAAGCCGGAAGCAGGAGTATAAGTCCTTCCCGTAGCAAAA